GTCAAAATGCAGGCTCGGCCTCGTCATTTTTTTGACGACCTCGTCGGGGATTTCCGAGTCCCCTGTACCCAGGTCTTACTTCCCCCTGAAAATCATGATGTCGGGGTTCTGGGTTCGGATGATGTTCGTCTCTGACGCCCTCTCGGGCCGTCTTGGCGCCCTCCTGGGCCGTCTTGGGGCCGTTCGGGGCCGTTCTCACGCCCTCTTGGGCCGTTCTGGTAGGCATATGGAGCCAGGCCCCCTTGGGGCCCTCTTGGGCCCAGCCATCATCTTGGAGGCCTCTTGGGCGATCTTTCGGCGATCTTTGGGGGCTCTTGGGCCGTCTCGGGCCGTCGGAAGGCAGAAAAGAAGCAAATGTGGAGATCCGTCAACAACCTTAGGAAAATCAGTATTTTTGGCCTCTTCTGGCCTTCCTGGAGGCCCTCTTGGAGCCTCTTGGGCCGTCTTGGGCCAGCTTCGAGCCATCTTCGGCCATCTTGGTGGGTTCCTGGCACGTCTGACGCCGTCGGGAGCCGTCTTGGGGGCCTTTCTGGGCCGACTTAGGGCCCTCTTGGGGCGCTTCGGGGCCGTCTTGTAGGCCATTTTGGCCGTCTTGGAGGCCATCTTGGGCGTGTTGGAGGCCTCTGGGCCCATCTTGGGGCCGTCTTGGGGCCGTCTTGGGGGCGTCTTGGGCTGTCATGGGGCCATCTTGGAGGCCTCTTGGGCGATCTTGGGAGCCTCTTGGGCCGTCTTGGGCCGTCGGAAAGCCGAAAAGGCGCAATTGCCAAAGTCCTGCAAAAACCTCAGGACAACCAATGATTTTGGCCCTTTCGGGCCTTCCTGGAGGACGTCTTGGAGGGCTCTTGGGCCGTCTTGGAGGCCTCTTGCGGGCCTTTTGGGCCGTCGTAGACCATCTTGAGGCCATCTTGGGCCGTCTTGGGTGCATCTTGGAGCCATCGCAGACGTCTTTGACTTTGAGACCATCTTGGTTGTCTTGAAGGCATCTTGGAGGCCATCCTGGGCCATCTTGGCCGTCTGGGAGACCATCTTGGGCCAACTTGGGGCAACAAAGGCATTGACGGACGGATTTTCGGGAATCTCCCGGGACCCCGGCGGGACGGGCCGAAGCCCCAAGGGGAGTTCTTTTAGAAAAAGAACCAAAGCCAAAACCACGTAGTTTGGCACGCCGGGCACCCCTTTGATAAATCAAAAGGGGGCGGCGGATCGAAGACGCCTACGACGAATCACCGCCGCCCTCTGCCTTTGTGGAAGCGCCTACGTGGCCGAACGTTGAGGCCAGACCTGCCAAGCCATCGGACCATGTGTTCCCCGAATCGGTTTGGAAAGCCTTCGGGGAACACGTGGGCGTCTTGAAGGTCATCTTGGCCGTCTTGGAGGCCTCTTGGGCGATCTTTCGGCGATCTTTGGGGGCTCTTGGGCCGTCTCGGGCCGTCGGAAGGCCGAAAAGAAGCAAATGTCAAAATCCGTCAAAAACCCTACGGGAAGTCAATTTTTGTTGGCCTCTTCTGGCCTTCCTGGAGGCCCTCTTGGGGGCCTCTTGGACCCTTTTGGGCCAGCTTCGAGCCAACTTCGGCCATCTTGGTGGGTTCCTGGCATGTCTGACGCCGTCGGGAGCCGTCTTGGGGGCCTTTCTGGGCCAACGGGGGACCCTCTTGGAGCGCTTCGGGGCGTCTTGGAGGCCATCTTGGGCGTCTTGGAGGCCATCTTGGGCGTGTTGGAGGCCTCTTGGGCCGTCTTGGGGCCCTCTTGGGGCCATCTTGGAGGCCACTTGGGCCGTCATGGGGCCCTCTTGGGGGCCTCTTGGTTGATCTTGGGGGCCTCTTGGGCCGTCTTGAGCCGTCGGAATGCCGAGAAGAAGCAAATTCCAAAATCCTTCAAAAACCTCAGGAAAATCAATGATTTTGGCCCTCTGGGGGGCCTCTTGGGCTGTCTTGGGCCGTCTTGGACTCTCTGAGGCCGTCTTGGAGGCCGTCTTGGACCATCTTGGGCGGACTTGGATGCCATCTGGGGCCGTCTTGGAGGTCATCCTGGCCGTCTTGTGTGGCCGAACGTTGAGGCCAGACCTGCCAAGCCATCGGACCATGTGTTCCCCGAATCGGTTTGGAAAGCCTTCGGGGAACACGTGGGCATCTTGAAGGTCATCTTGGCCGTCTTGGAGGCCTCTTGGGCGATCTTTCGGCGATCTTGGGGGCTCTTGGGCCGTCTCGGGCCGTCGGAAGGCCGAAAAGAAGGAAATGTCAAAATCCGTCAAAAACCTTAGGAACATCAATGTTTTTGGCCTCTTCTGGCCTTCCTGGAGGCCCTCTTGGGGGCCTCTTGGGCCGTCTTGGGCCAGCTTCGAGCCAACTTCGGCCATCTTGGTGGGTTCCTGGCACGTCTGACGCCGTCGGGAGCCGTCTGGGGAGCCTTTTCTGGGCCAATGGGGGACCCTCTTGGGGCGCTTCGGGGCAGTCTTGGAGGCCATCTTGGCAGTCTTGGAGGCCATCTTGGGCGTGTTGGAGGCCTCTTGGGCCGTCTTGGGGTCTTCTTGGGGCCATCTTGGAGGCCACTTGGGCCGTCATGGGGCTCTCTTGGGGGCCTCTTGGGCGATCTTGGGGGCCTCTTGGGCCGTCTGGAGCCGTCGGAAGGCCGAGAAGAAGCAAATCCCCAAATCCTTCAACAACCAAAGGAAAATCAATGATTTTGGCCTCTTCGGGCCCTCCTGGAGGACCTCTTGGAGGCCTCTTGGGCTGTCTGGGAGGCCTCTGGGGGGCCTCTTGGGCCGTCTGGGGCCCTCTTGGACTCTCTTGGGCCGTCTTGGAGGCCGCCTTGGACCATCTTGGGCGGACTTGGAGGCCATCTTGGACCATCTTGGAGGCCATCTTGGGCCATCTTGGCCATCTTGGAGGCCATCTTGGAGCCGTCCTGGGCAGAAAATTGGGGAAGTGAGGTCCGTGGAAAAAATCCCGGGCCGAAGCCTACTGGGAGAGTTCTTTTGGAAAAAGAACCAAAACCAAAACCGATAGGGTCTGGCACGCCGGGCACCCCTTTGCTGAAGCAAAAGGGGTCGGCGGATCTAGTGGCTTGCGGCCCATCCCGCCACCGTGCCGTGGGGGCCTCCGCGGAGCACCCAGGAAACCTTCTATGGGGGAGGTCGGAAAGGGGTGTGGTATAAAGGGGTATGGTGCCAATCGTGGAAATGGCGATGCGATCTGCGATAAATAGCAGAGTCCCCTGTACATGAAGTTCAGTACACCAGAGGAAAGCCCCAATCAGTGGATGGCTGAGGAGATCGACCGGGAACCCAGGAGCCCAGCAACCCAGAACCCACCGAAAGCGGCCCGGAACCAATAACCGGGAACCCAGGAAACCGGAACCGGGAACCCGGGAACCCAGCTTGCCACCAGAATCGGCGGGAAACGTTCTCCAGGTCTTTCAACAACTTCTGCTGGGACCCCTGCAGTGCAAGCACTGATTGGGGAACACCACGCCCCTTTAGATCATACCCCTTTCCCTTGGCATCGCTCGGACGTGTGCATGTTTCTTCCGGCGAGGACCATCGAGGAGCATCCTTGATCATTTAGCGAAAAAGCCACGCACGAAACTGAACAAAGCACAGGGAATGAACGTCCGAGCGATGGCCAGTTCCTACCTCCAGACCTGTAGGGGGGAGGTCTCGGGGTCGTCCTGGTCTGGGCGCGCGGGCCTCGCCCCGTGTGGCCCGAGGCATGTCTCGTTTGGACTTCCTCCTCCTCCTCCTCCTCCTCCTCCTCCTCCTCCTCCTCCTCCTCCTCCAGCTTCCAGTTCCTCGTTTGGACTTCCAATTAATCTTCAATTCCTCCGAAAATGCAGAAAAATATGGGGAGCGGGTGGAAAGACGAAAACCCAGAAACTATAGGGAAAGTATAGGGAATCCTGTTATCTCTGTGTGTATTTGTTTGTGTGTCCCAGGGCCCTTTCTGAATTTTCCCGCCCACCAAACCACCCCAACCCAACCCGAAGGTCTCAATTTGCCCTCCATTTCAAGTGGGGGGGGTCGGGGAAAATCGACAATACCAATGGAACCCGTACCCACCCCCCAACCCGAAATTCGGGTCTTCGGGTTGGGTTGGGGTGGTCTGGTAGGTAGTCACTACCACACCCATCGCTTGTATGTAGCAGTGTTCGACGCTTTGCGCGCTGTGCCTTCGACAATGCTCGATCGCAATTAGCACTTCATCTGCCGATCGCGCTTGACGACCCTCTGTGCCGCCGGCTGAAAAGTGTGGCCCGAGGTTTTTGCAGGCAGTTCTGTTCTCCTGGTGATGTCTCGGTCGGCGATGTCTTGGGGCGATGTGCCACCAGCTTCCCCGCCAAAGAGCGCAAGTTCCAACGGGGATGGGAGGGTGGGAAAATCCGGTACGACCGTGCCTCTGGTAATCCCAGCCTCTGGCGCCCCCGCGCCACGGGCATCTGGGACAAGAGGCGCCACCAGGCTGGCCGGAGCGGCGTACCACGGAAGCGCGCAGGAAGTCTAGCAAATCGGGACCTTGGGCAGTTCAGAACCCCACGGTGCCTCTGAAGCTCACAAGTGTATGAGCCCTCGTGCGCTCCACAGCGACCTCACGGCATGGTGGCATACCTGTGCCGAGCAAGCGTGCTAACGCAATCTATTGCGTGGAAGCGTGGACGTAGATCGCCTCCGAAGTGCATCCGTGGACCCAATCGTTTTAACGTTTTCATGTGTGTCCAGGGACTTGTGTATCCACACGAGAATGCGTCTTCAAGTTGAATACATAGTCGGAGTTCTTGGCGTGTGCCCATTCAGTTCCGTATCTGCAGTCCCTAGCCACCTCCTGTCAGTTCAGCGCTGCTCATCTGGCCAGGCCGCATCTTGGGCCCAGGATCGGTGTGTACGTCTTCCCTGACGGTTCAGAACGGCCCGCTTGCGCAGATGGGCTCGCCCACCGATGCTGCCGATCGCGAGCCCAGGACTGCCCCGGCCAGGGCCCCTGGCGAGCTCTCAGTCGGCGGCCTCTCAGGAGACTGGCACCGCGCGCCCGAGAGCGCGCCCGGGCACGGCGGGCCTCCGCTGCAGACGAGCACCGAGGGCCTGCGGGCGGAGATCCAGGGCGCCTTCCACGAGATCGTCCTCCCGCAGATCCAGAAGGACCCGGCGAGCGGCGCGGGAAGCGCCCCGCAGCCTCGGGTGCGCGGTCGCCGTCTGGTCGTGGGGGTCCCCGTGGTCCCCGCGCCGCGGTGCTCGACCTTTCCTCTGGCTCTGGTTCGGAGGGGGAGCGTGGCTGACCCGTCGGAGCGCGGCAAATCATCCCCACATTCGCTGGGCACGTCAAGCAAGAAACAGGCCTGCCAGCAGGTGATACACGGAAGGGATTTATCCCTCGATGGCCCTCGGGGCCCAACTAAGCCCAGGTGCACTTCAGGAAGCCCAGCGCTCAACGACAAGCGTGCCCCTAGATTCCTATAGCAAGTCTTTTTATAGTATGTGTCTGCTGTGCTCGTCCTCCACCTCATCCCCATCCTTGAGGGGCATTGTTAGGGGTTGGTTTGCTCAAGGGGGATGCATCGACCCACCATCGCCCGTTCACAGAGGCCCGATAGCCCACCCCGCTCCCGCGATGCATCGCCGATTCCAGGTCGATCTGTTCCCCCCCTGAGCTGGTCCACAGGTGGTTTTCGGGCCATAACTCGGGCCTCCGGCGGCCGTTCGGGACGACCCGGGCAGCCCCGGAACGCTCTCGGCGAGGCGCAGCCGCTGAGGGGCATCCCGAGTCTGGAAAGCCGCAGAGAACCGACGAAAACGTCCGGAAACATCCAACCTGAAGCCAGTCCCCTTCTTGACGTTGCCCCTCACTCACTCGTCTCCCCTTCCCGCCTTCTGCTGGAGGACCTGTCGGACATGCGGCGGGACCTGCAGCTGATCTCCTCCAGGCAGGCATCCGCGGGCTGCTCCGCGGAGCACTTTCCCCAGCGCTCGAGGCAAGGGGGGTGGGGGCAAGCATGGAGCAGGAGGGGGAGGGAGATGGGAGACCCAGACAGTTTTTGATTCGCGGGTCGAGAGCGCACCTCTTCCGGTCGAAGCTCAGCGGGCCGCGCGAAGCTTGAATTAACTAGAGATGGGGGGAGACCCAGACAGGTCGTCTCCAGGAAAAAAATCCGGCATCCTCTCTGGGAAAGGGGTGTCCCTCTGACGGTCTTGGTCCTCCTCGCATCCGGGGAAACTCCAGGGCGGAGGGTTCTCGCAGGAGGAGGAGGGGGAGGGGGAGGAGGAGGAGGAGGAGGAGGAGGAGGAGGAGGAGGAGGAGGAGGAGGAGGAGGAGGAGGAGGAGGAGGAGGACCCCTGGGAGCCCTCGCCAGGCCCCCGGGGCCATGCAGACGAGAGGAGCGAGGGAGGAGGAGGCGGATGGGGCGAGGCGCGGAGGACTCGGGAGGAGAGAGGGGGGGGCGCGGGAGGAAGACCGAGGAGCGCGAGGACGAGGAGGAGGACAGAGCGCTGGGGTTTAGGAACGAGGGGAGGAGGAGGAGGAGGAGGAGGAGAGGAGGAGGAGGAGGAGGAGGAGATGGGAGGGGAGGAGGAGGAGGAGGAGGAGGAGGAGAGGAGGAGGGGGAGGAGAGGAGGAGGAGGAGGAGGAGGAGGGAGGAGAGATGGGAGAGGAGGAGGAAGAGAGGAGGAGGAGGAGGAGGAGGAGGAGGAGGAGGAGGAGAGGGGAGGAGGAGGAGGAGGAGCAGGAGGAGGAGGAGGGATGGGAGGAGGGGAAGGAGAAAAAGGAGGAGGAGGAGGAGGGATGGGAGGAGGAGTGGAGGAAGGGTAAGAGGGAGAAGACTCTGGGGAACGGAGGGTAGGTGAGGATGGGGGTGAAAGATTGTGAGGGCGGGGGATCATGGTTGCCGCAGCGACACAGCGACTGGCTAAGCGAAAGTTTCTGGCCGTAGAACTTTCCTCCTGTAAGTCCCACCAGTCCTTGCCCAATGCTGTCGTTTGCCATGTGTCGTCCGGTGTCCCGAGACTGTCCCAGCCCCCCGCCCCGCGGAGCAGAGCGACGCGCTATCACCTCGCAAGGCATGGCGTGTCGCTGGGGCCGGCGCAGCGACACACTCAGCAACAGCTCCTGGCCGTAAAACCTTCCTCCCAGACCCCCGGCGTCATGATTTTGTCATAACGTCGACCCCCAGAGTTCTCGACCCATTCCCCAGGAGCGGTTTCTCATCCTGCGTCGTTTTTGACGGCCCCGAGGCCCGGTGAGGGCCCCGGGAGAACACTGACAAAAGCCTCCCGTCGTAATCTTTTAGGGGGTCTGGGCTCCTGTATGTCCCGCCAGTCCCTGCCCGAAGGCTGCCGTCTGCCATGTAGCTTCGTCGGTGTGCAGTCGTCCGGTTTCGTGCTGTGCCTCCTCGTCGCCGGCTTGTTGCTGCAGGATGTGAATCGTTTTCCGTATGCAGCTGGCACGTGGGATAACAGCAGCCATCGCCTTCGAGGGGGTACCCCCTACGGGGGGGTGCGTTCGTTCAGGAATGCGCACAGGAGGCTTCAGACCCTTGGGGATTTCTTATCTCATGAGGGTGGTGGTGATACCCATGGCCAGTCCACGATTGGAGCCCCACTGGCTTCCAGACCCTGGATTCCTTATGCAATGGCTCCGTAGCCAATGCCCTCACCGTATGTTCTTCGTGTTCGGGTTCTCCACCTTGGAGCACTCTTTGTTTGGGGTGTCTCCATGGGGCGCCTTGGGCCTTCTGCGACGGGTCTCGCGTCGTTGGCCCACGCTTTTGAGGCCATGTTTCGCTTGTGTCGGCGTCCCATCGAACCGCTTGTTGTGTTGGCCCGTGTCGCAGCCATCCCTGCTGCTTCCCACTGTGATTGGGAAGGAGGAGGAGGAGGAGGAGGAGGAGGAAGAGGAGGAGGAGGAGGAGGAGGACGATGTGGGGGGTACCCCTCTCTTCCCCCCGCTGAGCCTCCCCATCAAGGGAGGAACAGCCACCCCGACCCCGACAAGTGGCGGTTACTAAACGACCCTTGGCGTTTACTAAACGGCCTTGCCCTGTTCGATCCCTTCCACGGGTGCGTTTACTAAACGGCTTCGCTCGTCGTGGTGCTTATCATATGTGGGTGGACTTTCTGCTCTCTGTTCCTCCACCCCCCCCCTGGCGATCCTGGGCTTGGGGGACTTGCTCGCGTGCTGCTGCACCTTGCGCGCTTGCATGCGTGCTCGCCGTGTTTCTGCTTGCCGCCCGCCCCGTCCTTCCTTTCCTTCGGCCGCGTCCCTCCCTCCCTCCCTCCTCCTCCTGCATGGTGGCACAATTCGGCCCAACGGTACAGTCGAGTCGCTGAAGAAGGAACCCTTTTCGTTGGGGAGGGGCTCCGTGTTCCTTAATTGTCTCACAGTTTGCCTCCGGTTTTCTTCATGTGTTCGATGGGAAATCGAAGTTTAACTCATGGAAGACAGGGGCCTCGTTCCCTATGTAGGGTTCCTCAGGTCAACGCCCCGACTGCACCCCCCTGCTCATGCCTTCGTCGCCTGCGCAGTCGCCCTCGGCCTGGCCTTCGACGCTGGGCAAGCCCGCTGGGTTTCTCCCCGCGGCCTCGCAGTGCCGTGGGGGGCCGCGCCTCGCAGGCACGGCTTGCACGCGTGCCAAAAGGGCGTCGGCCGCGGGCCTTCTGTTAGGTCGGGCCTGTCCCCCCACAGGGGGGCTTTGGACGAAACATAGAACATATTCGAAAACTACTCAAGAGATGCCCAAACATACTAAAACTGCTCAAAAGATTCGGAAACTATTCACAGAATATCCGAAAACTACTCAAGAGATGCCCAAGCATACGAAAAAACAGCCCCCACGCTATTTTGTTTTGACTCTCTTCTTGAAGATTCCCCCCTGCAGAGGGCCTCGGCCGCGGGCCCTTCTGGCGGCGGACCGGCCCGACTTAAAAGCCCCCTGGCGGCAGGGCACGGTCGTCGGGGGGGGCTCCGGCGGAGAGACCCGCGCCCGCCCGCAGTGCGCCAGGATCGGGGGTGGACAGAACCCCCAAACAGTGACACGTCGATTATCGGGCTGGAGGAAAGGGGGGGATTGGGAAAGGGGGGGTTTCGAAATCTGCTGCATGCAGCTGGTTTCGGCCTCACCGAGGGGCCCATTCCTCGATACATAGCCGCCTCCGGCGCCGGGAGGCGCCGGGAAAATCAGCTACGTGAGCTGATGCTCAAACCCCCCCTTTGCTATCCCCCCCTTTCGCCCGACCCGAGCAGTGCGCCAGGATCGGGGGTGGACAGAACCCCCAAACAGTGACACGTCGATTAGTGAACTGTCCGCTTTCGGCTCTCAAGAGGACGCCGTGGCCGCTGTTTTCCAGGCCTGCGCCCGCCAGGTTCGGGCCTCAGGTCGTTTTCACTGAACCACGTTTTGCTAAAGGGGGGCCTGTCCATCCCCGACAAGAGGGAGGACCCGGACCCCCTCGGGCAACGGTGAGAAGATCACGACGGGGTGGTTTTCCTGATCTTCGGCCTCTGGAGGCCATTCCCGGCCTTCGGGACTGTCAAAACACGACTCCGAACGAGGAACCAGTCCCGAGGGATGGGACGAGATCTCGGGGGGTCGACGTCAGGAAACAGATCGGGACGTCGGGGGTTCCTGAGGAGATCGAGGGTAGAGAACGATTTTGGAGAATCCTTCGTGGAAGGAAAACAGCATAAACGCAAACTCTTTATGGCTCAGAAGGGAAAACAAAAACACACACAATGACACAATTAATCGTCGATTCCCCAGAGGATGAGAAAAGATGGGAAGTGGGGGGGAAGACAGAAACCAAAAAATATGGGAAAATGTTGGAAGCCCTGTTAGTTGTGTCTATTTATTTGTGCGTCTCAGGGCCCCCCACGCGGATTTCATGAATCCGCGCCTGGGCCCCCCGGCGGCGCCTCCGCGCGCTCCGCGCGCCATGGAGGGGCCCAGCGCAGATCCAAGAAGTCTACGCCGAGCGTCAAGCGTTTCTGCTTATGGCGTTTTGTGTTCTTCTCGAGAATTGTTCGGGCCGCCAGTGTTGAAGGAGGCTGCGGGGGAGTGAGAAGGAGGAGGCCTTCTCAGAAGGCGGCGGGGCTTCTCAGAAGCTCTCTGGCCTTCTGAGAAGTTTGTTTGGTTTCGGGGAAGGCTTAGGAAACTCCTCAGATGGTCGGGGGACTCCCGAGACTTCTGAGGAGGCCTTCTCTTTCTCATTTCCCCCCCCCCACCGCTCGCCGCCGAAAAAGGTTGGAGAATGGGAGTGGAGGATCGAGGGCAGCAAGCCAGACGCTCCATCCGCGCAAGCCGCGGGCCCCCGCCAGAGTAAGGCCGCCGCTCTTCGGGCAGGCTCTCGCCCCTGCCGGACGCGACCCCTGCCGGGTGACCTGCCAGCAGTGCACGAGGAAAACGTCAAGCTCGAGCTCCGCGCTGCAGAGCGGCACACCTCTAGACGGTCAGGCATGTATTCGGCATCGCCCTTGCATGCTGACATTATGTGTGTGTAACTCCCCGCCCTCGTCTTCGTTCCTTCTTCTTGCACGGTGGACAATTCGCCTATCGGTTGCCCCGATTAGCCCCACGCTGGTGCGGACTGCTGCCTCGCCGCCGACGAAGAAGTGTGCGTCGGCCCCCCAAGGGGCGATGCGTACACCGAGTAATTGTATGGTATATGCGTCGTGGCGGACGCTTTCTGACCACACCGCTCGGGAAACGATGTGCTAAACTATTGGGTACACTGTATGCTCGTGTCGGACGGGCACCTCCAAGGATAACATGTTGTACTAGTATGTCTTTGTGCGTCCCCTGCCTGTCAGGATGGGAAAACACACACACACAGACACCATCAATCGTCAACTTCCAGGAAATGTGGGGAACTGTGGGAAGTGGGGGGGAAACGAAAACCTACAACACATGGAACAAATAGGGGGGACCCTGGGACATGTGTGCATTTATTCGTGTGTCCCAGGGCCCCTTCGTAGACGGGCAGGCATGTGGGATCTGGCCGCGCTGGTCCGCGCCGCCGATCGCCTGCGACGCATCCAGTGCGGCGGAGGCGTGCTGCGCCGAGCTCCCTGGATCGAAGCGCCGCGGCCTATCCAACGTGCGCGTCAGCTGGGCGAGCCCCTCCTTGAGAACCTCCTGGCGCTGGTGCCCCAGCCGACGAGGTCTCAACTCCTCCAGCTTCTGGTCTGCCCCTCTCGGGCCGCCCTCGGCGGCGCTGCGCGGGCGGGCGGAGGGGCGGCGGGCCGGGAAGCCCGGGGCCCCGCATGGTTTGCCGCCCTCCGGCAGGTGCACGGGCGGGGCCCCCCGCCCTAGCCGCCGTGCTGCGCACCCAGGGATCTCGGGGGGTAGGAGAGATGCTTCTCTCCTGCGTGCCCACGGGCCCCAGGGATCTCCCGCGCCGCGTGCACCTCTGCACTGCCACCCGTTGCGGTGCAGCTGCTCTCGCCGCTCCGCGCCCCACCGCCTCCAGCTTCGGGGACGCGATGTCAGAGCCCCGAATCATCAGGGGCAACTCGGGTCAGGGATAACTCGGGTTCGCTTTTCGGGAATCCAAACAAGAGTTACCCCGGACCCGAGTTACCCCGGATAACTCGGGCGTCCAGAGCCCCGAATCATCAGGGGTAACTGGGGTCAGGGCTAACTCGGGTTCCTTTTTCGGGAGTCCAAACCCGAGTTACCCCGGATAACTCGGGCGCCCAACGATGCTGAGCCTGGGCGCCCTGGGCCAGTTTCGCGTGCTCGGCTTGGCCTTCCGCGCTGCTGCCCGCGTCGCTCCCCAGTGAGGTCATCTCCATGCTGGGGTACGGGTGTCAGGGCTAACTTGCACAACATGCTATGGGACGCCGCGAGACGGTCAATTCGAATTGAGGGCTCTCCCTCCCCCCCTCGCGCAGGCCAGCATGGCTCCGCACCCGGCGGTACCGCGCGCTCGCCTCGCTTCGCCTCGCCTCGCCTCGCCCCGCCTCCCTCCTCGGCATGGGCGAGACGTCCTTCGCCACAGCGGTCGTCGGTCCCACTCGCACCACCTGGTGTTACGACGCCCACGGGGGGCGGGGGGACGGGGAATGCGCCTTCCCCTTCACGGCGCATTTCACCTTGCTGCAGGCCACTCTACCGAAGAGTCTTTTGAGGCCCTGTGCGCGCCGTCGTGCTCCAGTTGCCTCCTCTGGGCCGTTAGTCGCGACCAGCTACGTTGCATCTTCAGGGGACCTCGCCTGTCCCCACAATAGGTGTCTTTTCTTGTGCCCGACGCAGGCTCGAAGCGGACTCGACGCGGAGTTCGCGTGGATCCGACGCGGTGTCCTCACGGCGCCCTGCACCTTGCTGCGGCCCACTCTGGGGAAAACCTCCGTCCTGATTCTTCTACGACGCAGCATGTCTGGGACTCTCTCCCTTGCGTTCCATGTTCCTTCGCCCCTCCGCCCCCTCCCCGCACCCCCCTGTCGGCGTCCCCCCTCCGGCTGCCGCAGGCCGGGGCGAGAGACCGTCGTTCGCAGCAGCAGCAGCGGCGACCTGGCTCACTGGGGGCGTGCTTCGTCAGAGAGCTGGAGGCGAGGATTCCTCCCCTCCTCCCCTGCTCGTCGCCACACTGCCCCCCCCTCGCACCGTCCTGTCCTTCCTCCGCTTCCTCTCCTGTCCTCCCCGCTCCTGTCCCTCCCCTGGTCCTCTCTCCTCTGTGCTCCCCTCCTCCCTCCTCGGCCCGCCCCTGCCTGGCCCTCCTCCCCCGTCGTCCTCCTCCTGCCTCCCCCCCGCCCCTCCTCCTCCCGAGAGGTCTGTTCGGGCTCCCTCTCCCAGGGCCCCCCGTGTGGGAGCCGCCGGGGAGCCCTCGGGGGAGGCCTCTCTCGCCGTCGTCGGGACCCTCGTGGGCCGTCCTGGGGCCAGCCCGGGAGCCTCTTGGGCCTCGTGGGCCGCCCTGGGCGGTCGGGAGCTCGAAAAAGCCGGCCACGGCAAAGTCTGCCAGAGGCCACAAGCAGAGTCAGCGACTCTTGGGCTTACAGTGGGGGCCAGTCCACAAGAAGCCTCCCACAAGAAACCCAACCCTGAGACACCAGGACGTCCATTGATTTTTGGTCTGGGAATGTCACGCTTTCCATGGCAAAAGCATCGAAACCCCCAAAAAACCATGGCACCTTGGAGGCAAACAGGGTGTTTCACGGCATGGGTCTCCACTGTGCGCCGCGCCGCCGAGTTCCTTTGGGGAACCGGCGGTTGTGGTGGGCTGCTCCTGAGAGCCTCTTGGGCGCCTCTGGGAGGCTCTTTGGTGCCCCTGTGGGCGCTTCATGGGCCCTCTGGGCTCATTGTGGGCGCCTCCATCCTCCCAGGATGCGTTAGGGCCGGGCCCGGGGAATCCAGGCGGTACCCCCTTCCCTCCAGATCGACTGGACAGGGGCCTGGGGGGAGGGGTCACGGGAGGGGTACAGTCGGCCCGGATTAGTAGGTCGACTCTGCCAAATCAAGGGCTTTTTTGTGTCTTGTGTCTCGCGAGCCGTGCCTCCTGCGTTCCTATGGCGATGTTGCCCTCGGAAGGGTCTTTTGCCCTCTCGCGTGTCCTGTCCCATGAAGTCCGACTGTGAGCATCTCACACGCTGAGTGGTCGGGGGATTTTGCGTCGGGGCCTTCTCATGGACAGTCTGCCGTGTGCTCGCCACAGATGCCCCCGGGGCCCCCGGCAATCGCATCACAGCCCGCTTGGCAGTAGTGACGTCTGCGGCCGGCATTTTCATTGCTCGTCGTGCACGCGTAGGGTTATGGAAGTCGATTAATGGAGAGGAAGCGTGCTGCCAAACATGTTCCAGATGTCAAAAAAATGTTTCAAACATGTTTTAAACATAAAAAAAACACATGTTTGGAACGTCTTTAAGTTTAAGCGCATCTTTAGTTCAATGATCGGATTGTTAGAGTGTCCATTGTCATGGCATCCACAAGCGTGGGGGAACGGGCAAGACCCCTGCCTTTTTGGAAGCGCCCGCGTGGCCCAAAGTTGGGCTAGGGCTTGGCCAGGCCATCGGACGATGTGTTCTCCCAGCCGTCGGTGAAACCCTTCGGCTTTCCGAAGGCATCTTGGAGGCCTCTTGGCGGCCTCCTTGGGCCTCTTTGAGGCCTTTGGGGGCTTCTTGGGGGCTTCTTTGGCCGTCTGAGGGCGTTCCTTGCCCGCCTGACGCCGTCGGAAGCCGTCTTGGGGGCCTCTCTGGGCCGACTTGGGACCCTCTTGGGGTGTTCAGGGCCGTCGTGGAGACCATCGTGGGCGTCTTCGAGGACTCTTGGGGCGTCTTGGGGTCCTCTTGGGCCGATCTGGGACCATCTTGGAGATCTTGGGCCGATCTTGGGGCGATCTTTGAGGGCTCTTGGGCCGTCCCGAGCCGTCAGAACGCCGAAGTGAAGCAAACTCCAAAATCTTTCAAGCACCAGAGACACATTAATGATGTTGGCCTCTTCGGGCCTTCCTGGAGGTCCTCTTGGAGGCCTCTTGGGCTGTCTTGGAGACCTCCTGGGGGTCTCTTGGGCCATCTTGGAGCCATCTTTGGTCGTCTTGATGGCCTCTCTGGGCCGACTTGGTGCCCTCTTGGGGTGCTCCAGGGCCGTCGCGGAGGCTATCTTGGGCGTCTTGGAGGCCTTTGGGCCAGTCTTGGGGCCCTCTGGGGGCGGTCTTGGGGGCCTCTTGGGCCGTTCTGGGGCCATCTCGAAGGCCTCTTGGGCGATCTTTGGGGGCTCTCGGGCCGTCTCGGGCCGTCGGATGGCCAACAAGATGCAAGTGCCAAAATCTTCCAAACCCCATGGGGCAATGTATTATTTTGACCTATTCGGGTCTTTCTGGAGGCCCTCTTGGAGGCCTCTTGGGCTGTCTTGGAGACCTCTTAGGGGCGTCTTGGAGATCTCTGGGGACCTCCTGGTGGCCTCCCGGGCCGTCTGACGCCGTCGGAAGCCGTTTTTAGGGCCTCTCTGGGCCGACTTGGGGCCTTCTTGGGGCAGGGCTGGCTTGGAGACTATTTTGGGCGTCTTGGAGGCCTCTGGATCCGTCTTGGAGCCCTCTTGGGATCGTCTTGGCGGCCTTTTGTGAAGCTATCGATGTCAACATCGGCATTTTTCGAGGATGTCTCATGCGAAACGATCATTCTTATCATAAGGCGTCTTGGGCTAGGATCCCCAAGATCGCGATTTGTTGATAATGTCCCGAGCGAAACGGCCGTTTTGGGAGACGTTGGTGGCGCAGCGGGCTGGCCATTCCGAGTGGTTGGCGGGACGAGCCGAACCAAAAATATGACCAGATGGATCTAGCGCGCCGGGCACTCCTATGGCAAGACCACAGGGGCGGCGCATTGAATGGCCTTTTCGGTGCATCCCGCTACCGTGCCTGGGCTGCGGGTGTGCGGCCACGCGGATGGCAGACCGGGTCTCGAAGGAGGCGACTCGGGGGAGTTCGGGCAGCAGTTGTTGAACCTCTTGGGGGCCTCCTGGGGGCCTCTCGGGAGCTTTTTGGAGGCCTCTCGAAGCTCCCTGGGGGTTCTGTTGGGGGCTTCTTGGGGCAACCCGGCGGCGGTTTCGGGTCGACGGCTCGAGTTGTCCGTCCAGGTTTTTCCTCTGGACCCCATCTTAGGGGCGCTCCTGGAGCCCTCCGGGGCCGTCTTGGCGGCTTCTTGAGTGGTCTTGGGGCCCTCTCATGCGGGTCGTCTGAGAGTCTTTTGGGGGGCCTCTTGGGCCTTCTTGGTGTGATGCAGGAGGCTTCCTGGGGCTGTCTTGGACATTGTGATCGCACACGGCGCGACTGTGCTAACATACAGCTGTTCCCTCTTGTGGCGCCGCTCGAGGGCTTCTTGGGGCGTCTGGGGAGCCCCATGGACCGTCTGGAGGCCAGCGTGGGCGTTTTCGTTCGATCTTTCGGCGGCTCGTGGCCCTCTTGAACCGTCCAGAGAGCCTCTTGATGCCATCTTGGCGCGGTTTGGGTCCATCTGTCCCTCCCTGGCAAGTTCCACCCCTCCCGGGGGGACCCCAATCGCGGCAAAGCCCGCACCGGGAGCAGTTCCCTCTGCGGCTGACATTTTGAACGTTCGCCGTGTGCGCATGGGGGAACGGGCGAGAAGCCACGTGCACGAACGGCGGGCATACGTGTCCATTCCAGAAGAATCGTTATCCAAAGGATTTGGGCACAGCCCGCCACCCTGCCTGGGTTGCGGGTGTGAAGCCGCGCGGGCGGCAGACGGGGTCTCGAAGGAGGCGTCTCGGGGTCGTTTGGGAAGCAGTTTTTGAACACATTGTGGACCGCTCGGGGGCATTTTGGGAGCTGTTTCGGGGCCTCTCGGAGCTCTCTGGGAGCCTGTTGGGGGCTTCTTGGGGCAACTAGACAGCAATTTCGGGTCGACGGCTCAAGTTGTCCGGCCGGGTCTCCCTCTGGACCCCCTCTTGGGACTGTCCTGGAGCCCTCCTGGACCGTCTTGGGGGCTTCTTGACCGGTCTTGGGGCTCTCATCTGAGAGCCCTCTTGGGGGCCTGTTGGGCTGTCTTGGGGCGATCCAGAAGGCTTCTTGGGCTGTCTTGGACGTTGTGATCGCACAAGAGACGAATGTGCTAAAATTCAAGCCCCCCCTCGGTAATTGCACGATTTTTACTCTCTATCTTGGGGGCCTCTTGGGCCGTCTGGAGGCCAGCGTGGGCGTTTTCGATCGATAGTTATTTCGGCGGCTCGAGACTCTCAGGGCCCCTCTTGGTTCCCTCTTGGCCTGTTTTGGGGCCTTATGTTCCCCTGTGGCGCGTTCCAGCCCTCCCCGGGGGACCCCCTCCTTCCAAATAGACTAGACCAGGATCCCGGGGAGGGGTCTGGGGAGGGCGAAACATGTCACATGCCGATGAACCCGAAAGGGTCGGCGGATTGATGCACCTTCGGGCCCTCTTGGGGTCGTCTTCGAGTCCTCCTGGGCCGTCCTGGGTTCCCCCTGAGCTGTCTCGAGACCAACTTGGGCCAGCCATCTTGGAACGCTCTTGGCCTGATGCCATGGGGCCTGCCACCCATTTGGCGCCTCCTTGGCGCGCTCCTTGGGGCGCTCTGGGGGACCCCAGGGCCGCGCCCAGGGAATTTCCGGCATCCGTGGCCCGGGCCTGCTGGGAACCTGCCAGCATCGGGGGCGGAAAAGAGGGGGGTGATGAGTAGGGGGGGGGGTGGATATCATGGCGTGGGCCATGATGTTTCCCCAGATTTCGTGGCGCCTCTTCCTACTTCATTACGTCCCTGGCCCCCCCGCTGGGCCGCGCACATGCCGCTGGTCATGATTTGCACCCCCCCATTCTTGGACACCCCCCTCTTGGCCGCTCCCGACAGCACTTTGGTGGGGGCATTCTTCGCCCGAGGACCACCAGGGGCCGACGCGCGCGCGCAAACCAGAAACGTATTCAAACTCCGGTCAGGGCTTCCAGCACGCCTCTGGCCGCTGGGCTGGCGGCTTTCTGTCTATCATCGGTCCCCCCTCTGTCCCCCCGCCCTCCTTCTCCTCCTTGCCCCTTCCTTCTCCTCCTCACGCCGTTGGGCTGGCGGTTCTTGTCTATCATCGGTCCCCCCTCTGTTCCCCCGCCCTCCTTCTCCTCCTTGCCCCTTCCTGCGCCTCCTCATGCTCTCGGTGCCCCCCCCTGACCCCTGACATGCGCCGATCTGATTTTCCCATTCCGCGGCCCCAGAAGCCCTCCCCCCTTCCCCCGGGGGCAGTTCTGCCGTCCCGCGCCCCTTTTTTGGGTGGCCTTGGACCCAGAAAGGGCCCCAGGATGGCAGGGACATGTTGGGAAGGGCCCCTGGAATGGAACAACACGTGGATCGTGGGGGAGCTGGGCCCCCTTCCTGCCCCTCTCTCGCCCCTCGCTCCCCCCCCCCCTCTTCGGGAGCGGCCAGGCGGGGGTGGTGACCAGGGCGGAGGGGGACCACATATCATGGCCGGTGCCACGATACCTTCCCTGAGTTCATGTCGCTGCTTCCTGTTTCAGTACGTCTCCTCGCCCTCGCTGGGCCGCGCGCGTGACTCGGGTCAGGATTCGCGAGCCCCCTCTTGGACGCCCCCGACTTCTCAAGCAGTGGCGAAGCGTCCTGGCTCGCCTATAGGCCCACCAATGGACGTTCTAAGAACCTTTCGTGGTTTGCACGACATGTTCTTCGAGCATTTCTGGCTGGGACTGTCTTGTTGTAGCACCGCGGATGTATGTTAGAAGACCCTGGTTTTTGTGTTTCTAACTTGTTGGGGGGTTCTAAGCACATGTCGTGGTAGGCCGACGGGAATGCCGGGACGGTCGGTCCCTGCTGAGACTTCTTTTCCCCACCTCAAAAATAGTAATAAACAGACAGAACATACAACTGCATTGCTTTTGAAGACCTCTCCTCCCCACCTCCAGGCGGACGTCGTCCGACCCCCAGGGGCCGAGCTCGAGGCGGCCCGAGGCCGCGCACGACCCCGCGGAGGCCGCGGGCAGCAGGCAGAAGGCGGCGCGATCCACGAACAAGGCGAGCCGCGTGGTCGGAGGGGAGGGCGGACCCAGACCCCCCCTCCTCCTCCTCCTCCTCCTCCTCCTCCTCCTCCTCCTCCTCCTCCTCCTCCTCCTCCTCCTCCTCCTCCTCCTCCTCCTCCTCCCCTCGAGTAATGAAAAAAACATCACGGGAGGTTCTTCCTACTTTTCGGCCTCCGGGGGCCCTCATCGGGCCTCGGGAGCGTCACAAGAACGACTCAGGATGCAAAGCCGGTCCTGGGGAACGGGTCGGGACCTCTGGGGGTCGACGTAACGAAAACATGATTGCGTCGGGGGTCCGGGGAGAGCGGAGGGCGGAGGGCGAAGTGGGAGGGGCTGGGAAGGGGAAGCGGAGCGGAGCGGGAGGAGGAGCGCGAGGGATGGAAGCAGCACCGCGCAGACCGACATCGCAGGCCCACGAACAAGGCGAGCAGGCAGAAGGCGGCACGATCCACGAGCAAGGCGATCCAGGGGTGGTCGCACAGCGCGCGTCTAAGAAGAACAAGACGGCATAAACATAAACTGTTGGCTCTCCGCGCGGACTTCTTGGATCCGCGCTGGGCCCCCCTTGGCGGCGCCTCCGGCGCCGCCCCTGGCGCGCTCCGCGCGCTAGGCAGTGGGGGGTCCAGCGCAGATCCAATAAGTCCGCGCGGAGCGCCAACATTTTATGTTCATGCCGGTGTTATTTCTTCCAGCGCAGAAGAAGCAGGGGGGGAGGGGATGATGGGGAGGAGAGCGGGGGAGCTCCTTGAGATCCTGGCACCGCAGTTTTGCCGCAACTGCGGAAGGGGGAGGAGGAACGAGGAGGAGGAGGAGGAGGAGGAGGAGGAGGAGGAGGAGGAGGAGGAGGAGTCAGGAGTCAGGAGTCAGGAGTCAGGAGTCAGGAGTCAGGAGTCAGGAGTCAGGAGGAGGAAGGCCGCAGAGGGTGGGCGAGGAGGACGAGGAGGACGAGAACGAGGAGGAAGACGAGGAAGATGAGGACGAGGAGGAGGTCGACAATATGGAGGACGAGCAGGGCGAGGAGGGAGACTTAAGACTAGACTATGAGGATGACGGGGACCCGGCACAGAGCAGATGGATCGAGGACGAGCCGGCCTGCCTTTGACGAGGAGGTAGAGGAAAACGAGACGGAGGACGAGGAGGACGAGGAGGACGCCGAGGACGAGGACGACGAGGAGGACGTGGAGGAGGGGTGCGTCGGCTACGACGGTGATGACACAAGGCGAGCAGCCTCAGGGTGTTTGTTGCCAGCAACGCCCAGAAGAAGCTCGAGGATCAGCAGCCGCCGGCGCCACCGCACTACATCACCGAGTGCAGCGATGACGGCGGCAAGGACGAGGCGGAGGCTAGTCCAGCATCGCGAACGGTCGTCGCCGTCGTCGTCGTCGCCGCCGCCGTCATCGTCGTCGTTGTCGTCATCGTTGTCGCCGTCGTCGTCGTCGTCGCCGTTGTCGTCGTCGTCGTCGTCGTCGGCGTCGTCGTCCTTCGCTCCTTAACCTTTCGCAGCGGGTCCCAATAGCACTGTCGGCGCTCGCCGTCGGCGGCCGAGGATGGAGAGGCTCAGGAGTGTCTGCTGCTTTGCGGCTCGGGGGCGTCTGGGGGCGCTTGGCTCTGCTTGGCTTCGGAGGGGACCCCTCGGCCCTCCTTCTCGGTCCTCTCTCTCGATCCTCCTCCCTCGACCCTCCTCCCTTCTCGATGCTCTCCCTCGATCCTCGATCGATCCTCGATCCTGCTCGATCGCCTCCTCGACCCTCCCCTGTCGGGACTCCTCGGGCTCTGATCGGTTTCAGGAGGGGGGCAAGAGGAGGCCGACTACCTCTTGCGGGGTGGGTGCGACACGACCGCCCCGCAAGAGGTCATCTGCCTCCCCTTGCCCCCCTCCCGAAACCGATCAGAGCCCGAGGAGTCCCGACAGGGGAGGGTCGAGGAGGCGATCGAGAAGGACCGAGGATCGACCGAGGATCGAGGGAGAGCATCGAGAAGGGAGGAGGGTCGAGGGAGGAGGAACGAGGGAGAGGACCGAGAAGGAGGGCCGAGGGGTCCCCACCGGGGAGGGCCGAGGAGGCGCCCCCCCCCCCGTGCTGCCGCAGGTGAGCCGGGTGCGCCCGCCTGCGCCACTCGACGGGCGCCCGAAGACGCCGGCGGATCCGGAGCCGTCGCTCGACGTGGAGAACCCCAGGTTCAGGAGAGGAAAATCAGAGCCCCGAATCATCAGGGGTAACTCGGGTCAGGGATAGCTCGGGTTCGTTTTTCGGGGATCCGAGCCCGAGTTACCCCGGACCCGAATTACCCCGGATGATTCGGGCGTCCAGAGCCCCACATCATCAGGGGTAACTCGGGCCAGGGCTAACTCGGGTTCCTTTTTCGGGAATCCAAACCCGCGTTGCCCCGGACCCGAGTTACCCCGGATAACTCGGGCACCCCAAAAAAACACACAGACACAATGAATCGTCGACTCCCATGAAAATATGGGAAAAGATTGGAAGTGGGGGGGAAAAGACAAAAACCCAGAAAATTTGTGAAAATACAGGGAATCCTTTTATCTGTGTCTATTTATTTGTGTGTCTCAGGGCCCCTTCACAGGTACAGCTCCGCGGCCAGCTCCGCGGCCAGCTCCGCGGCCGTCGTTCCGCTGCAGACCCAGGCGTCGTCGTTCGAAGGGGGGGGGGATCGGGGGTGGACAGGATCCCCACTTTGGCACGTCGATTGGTGAATTGTCCGTTCTCGGTTCTCGAGAGGGCGCCCTGGCCGTCATGTTCCAGGCTTGCCCCCGCCAGGTTTGTGCCTGAGGTCGTGTTCCCTAAACCTATTAAAGGGGTTTCTGTCCATCCCCGAGAGGAGGAGGAAGAGGAGCAGGAGGAGGAGGACGACCAGCACAAACCTAACAGTCAGCAATGATGCTGGAATAAACCCGCCCTCCAAGCTCCCTCTTGATAGGTCCCTACAGCGGTTCATTTCCACTGAAGGAACTACCTCGTTGGAAGACACTCGCATGAAGACCCTGAAGCATGTTAAAACAATGTCTTCGATATTCCAACGCCTCGGATCAACCTGACTGTTGCGTCTTGACGATTTTGAATCGTGCTAGAACGCCATTCATGAGACTTCAACACAGCGAATCAACGTAACTGTTGCGCTTTCATCGTCCTGAATCCTTCCTCCAAAAAACATGATGTTTGGAATGCTGATCATGGGGAAACCTGAGACTCTTGCAAATCTGTAAAATGAATGTGCGCGGCGCTAAACCGACAGCCACATTTGCCCTCAATCCGTGAAGCTCTTGCAAGCATTTAAAACGAATGTACTTGGCGCTAAGGTGAGAGATACATTTTGAAAACGACCCGCCCTCAATCCGTGAAGCTCTTGCAATAATTTAAAACGAATGTGCGCGGCGCTACGGCGAGAGCTACATGTTGAAAACCATCCGCCCTCAATCCGTGAAAGACTTGCAAATGTTAAAAACGAATGTGCGCGGCGTTAAGACGAGAGCTGCATTTTGAAAACGACCCGCCCTCAATCCGTGAAGCTCTTGCAGTGTTTGAAAACAAATGTGCGGGCGCTACGGCGAGAGCCACATTTTGAAAACCACCCGCCCTCAAATTGTTGTCATGGTACCGGAGAGAAACCCCAATCAGATTGTTTTAATCTTCCAATTGCTCCCTTTGTAATCGGCAGAAGCGGCAGGCACCAATGGGCTATAGGGCTATCGGGCTATAGGGCTATCGGGCTATAGGGCTACAGGGCTATAGGGCTATAGGGCTATCGGGCTATAGGGCGGGCTATAGGGCGGGCTATAGGGCTATCGGGCTATAGTGCTATAGGGCTATAGGGGTATCGGGCTATAGGGCTATAAGACTGTGACCTATAGGGCCATAGGGCTATAGGGCTATGGGGCTATAGAGCTATATGGGCTATGGGGCTATAGGGCTATAGGGATATAAGGCTATTAGGGCTATAGGGATATAAGGCTATAGGGCTACAGGGCTATAGGGCTATACGGCTATAGGGCTATAGGGCTATAGGGCTACTGGGCTATTGGGCTATTGGGCACCCCCGGGCACCCCCGGGCACCCGGGCACCCGGGCCCGGGCACCGAAATCGGCCATGCACCTCACTGGCCACCCGGGCACCCGGGCACCGCCGGGCACCCGGGCACCCGGGCACCCGGGCACCCGGGCCCGGCCACCGAAATCGGCCGCACTTCTCACCTAGTCCTTTAATCCGCTAGGACCCCTACAGAGGCAAGCTCTGATTGGGGAATGTTTAAAGCTTCGCGGCCATATATGGTGAGGAATCTCTGGCGAAACGCCCGGCCCGCCCTAAAAGCTTGCCTCGGGTTGCGACAGGGAGAAATGTGTTAGGAAGAAAAAGACTGGAGGAGGAGGAGGAGGAGGAGGAGGAGGACGAGGAGGGCAGGAGGAAGAGGAGGAGGAAAAGGAGGAGGAGGATGTTCCTCGAAGTTCGTTCAACACGGATGTGCCAAAAAGGGAGGGCAGAGGAGGAGGAGGAGGAGGAGGAGGAGGAAGAAAAGGAGAAAGAGGAGGAGGAGGAAAAGGAGGAGGAGGAGTACGATGAGGAAGAGGAGGAGGAGAAGAAGGAGGAGGAGGAGGACCACTGCGGCTGCCACCACTGGCGCGAACAAGACGTCTTTGACGGTGTTGTCAGTCCCTACGCCGCGCAACGGTCGCTCATCTCAAGCGGGAGGGCCCCCTCCCCACCGACACCCGCCGGGAAAGCCCACCCGTTGTCCCCCCGCACCCCCGTGCCGTTATCCCGACGCAACTCAGGCGAGCGCGCATGGCGTTGCTACGCCCGTTCTCTGACGTGCTACTCGCGGTGACTGCTGGCATCTGGGGTGGCGAAGTACCACGCCGGCTTGGACAGCCTCGGCGCTGGCAACATCCAGGTTGCCTCAACCCAAACTTTTCCAAGGTATCGAGCGGGATATCGAGCTGGTTTCTTTCGTTCGGGCCAACTATCTGTTGGCAGCCCTGGCTTCCTGGACGAATGCCGCATCCTCAACGTGGCGTTCACCCGGGCGCGTCGTGCTTGCCAAGGGTGGGGGCCCCTGATCGATTGCGGACTACGTGTTCTCTTGGAATGGGCCGTCGAGGCTGGCGCAGTCGTGCGCTTCGATCTCCAAACCAGCGTGGCCATCCCCCGCCCCCTGCCTCGGGAGGAGGCGTTCGCCCCTCTGCCCGCCGAGGAGCAGCGAGTCACACCCCCCAGTGAGACCCTCGCAGCAGCTTTGTGCAGGAGCTCCGCGCCCATCACTCCTCCTTCCAGCATGAACTCCACGCCTGGCCGCACCCCACCTCCGATCCTGCCCGCACCTGCGAGCGTAGCTTCCAGCACCTCTCTGCGCTGACGTCTAACCGTATTTTCATCGCGGTTTTTGGGTACGTCGCGACTCCCCACCCGCACTTCTACAACCTTTCCAACATGCCCATGGCAACCGGAAAACGAGACCGCAGGGCAGCCTCTCACTCTGGCTTCTCCCGCTGCCCCGCTCTCGATTCGGATCCTAACAACATCTGCCTCAGCGCATCTACCCTCATCATGGGGAGCACCCCGCTCTCGTCCCCAAGCGCCTCTGGCAGGCCAAGCAAGGGGGACTTTCTGTTCAACGTCAACGCCTTTCTCCCCGTCGCTGCCCACCATGGTGCGCCGAGGCCAGACAGGCGTGCACACAGCACAAAGCTTCCCTGCCAGCCGTCATCTCTTCTGCGGTGCGCGAGCCCCACGGGAAACGATCGGGCGCATTCTTTGCCAGCCCCCAATACTCCCAGGAGGCGCTAGCTGTCCTATGCGCCCTCTTCATGCACCGCGACATGGACAGTGCGCTTCCCCCCATCCACAACCCCTCCTCCACTGGCGACCTCTTCGAGGCGATCGTCGGCATCTGCGCGCCCTGGGACAATTTGCGCAATTCGGCAATTCGGTCCGTAAGTCCGTGCTGTCGCAGGCAGAGGTGGGCCCTGGTCACATGATGGCCAGCTTCCAGACAGTTGGAAGGTACATAACTGCTCCCTCGGGGACTGGTTTGCCTTCCAGCTTGCTGAGAGGGCCACCGAAGTCTTCGAGCGTTTCTGGGCAGGCTATCCCACCACCGGGTGCACACAACGCCTTTGGCTCGGGGCCTTCGGTGTTACCCCGCCCCCCGCCGTTACGTGGGAACCCCTCGCCGACGCACAGGGGCGCATGATGGGCGTGGACCCTAACCCCCTCGTGCCTGCTCGGGTCGTCCGCGTACCGAACCATGCTTTCCCCGAGCATCTCGATATTCGGCCCTCCCCCCACAACCCACACTTCCAGCGCGACGAGTACAACAACGGGCCCCTCTCCGGCACGTTCGTTGGCGGGTGGGAAGACCGCGCCATGGCCAACGCCCTGGCGGCCAAACGTGCCACTTTGTGGGCTTTTGGGCAATGCGGCGGCCGCTGGTGTTGCATCCGTTGCCTACGTAATCGCCATGACCGTCCGTCACGCGGAAGAGACCGGATACGAATGCACGCGTGTGGTTGCTTACCAGACAATCGTCGCCCAGATCATTGGGGGGAGGCGGTTTCCCGCAGATGGGTGGACCTCCGCTGGGCCCGTCTCAGTAGCCAGGGCCCCCCCCCGCAAGCCTAAACCGTGCCTGTGTTGTAGAAGTTGTCCGTGAGCTTGGGTGCCAGCACGTGTTCGGGCCAGGTTTGTGGCCACGATGTGGCCAGTTTTGCCCCAGAAGTCCCAAGTGGCCAAAAACTTGGGTTTGGCCACTGCTAGCGCCTTTGCGTCTGGCATGACCACCTCGAGTCGTGACTGCAAGGGGGCGGTGAAACTCAGAGCGTGAACCACCTACCCCGCTTTCGCTTCCAGGCAGAACCAAGTCATACCACGCGCCTCCTCGTCAAGCGGCCTGACCAGTGCAGGCCGTAGTTTGGCATCGTTTGGTATCTCTTGGAAGTGAGGGTGGTCAAAAGCGAGGTAGGATGGTTTGCCCCCTAGAAACTACGCGACGAGCCGGATGCGGCCCAGCTCTGTCCGACGCAGGTGTTCGCGGGGCTCCAGGGGTTGGCTCGGCAGGCCCATGGTGTTGACGCATTTGGGGGAGGCCCGGCACACCCGTGCCCTCCTCTCGGGCGAGGTGATCCAGGACCTTCCCCCCGGACCAACAGCGAATTGCTCTGGCCAGCCAGGATGCCGATCGACTGGCTAAGTTTGCCCTCTCGCTCCATCCTCGGGCTGCACCTGCTGATCCGGAGATCCTGGAGCAGCGCGTGCAGCTCCTCGTCTCCGGTGCGGAGATGCTCGGTCGTGTGTTTGCTCTCTTCCCTAAGCTCTGTTTCAAGATGGCCCCGACCGAGCAGCGACTGCCTCGAGTTCCGCCCCCACCACAGTGGCACGAGTGGGAAGAGTTGGACGGAGAGCAGACAGCCCACCGTAAGACGCGTTTCTTGATTTCGTTCCACGGCGACTCCCGACCAACGAATGGTTGTGCTGGTATGTCCTCCGCGCTCCGTCGCCTTCAGGGTGCGGAGTCGGAGAGGCGTCAGAAGTTGGGAGTTGCCGTGCTGAGCAAGTCCCCCAAACCGTTGATGTTTGCTACGCCTGCGGTGCATGCCAGCAGACGATGTTACTTGCTCGGCCAGGACCTGCACT